CTGTCCTAATAATCACCACGTGGGTCGTTTTGTGTTCAGCAGCTTGTGAGTAACTCAAACTAAAACTGTTCTAGTTTGTAAAGAAGGGTTGTGTTTATGTTTCTGACAGTCTGCTGCAGGTCGGAGAGTAAACTCTGGGTTCTGGTTCTGCTGGTCGCTGCAGCGTTTCCTCTCACACTGAGTCATGACTCAGCATGACTCAGCAGTTTCAGCTTCCTGCAGCTTCAGACAGAAACAGAGGAAACGTTGGTCCGACATGACTAAAGACGGTTCCAGGGTTCTGCAGAAAAGTCGACGTTCTGAAGGTGAGAAGAACTAAAACACAACTGATCCAATCGATCAGAACCCGACTCAGACGAACCTTAAACAGAACAAGACTCACTGCAGCTGGACGCAGGAGAGAAGAACGTTTACGCTGCGATATGAAAAAGTTTTAAATGACTTTGGAGAATTGTCAACTAATTCTGGCCAACTTCTGTTCATTTTGGACCCATTCTGAGTCAGACGTTTTGAACCGTTTTCAGCAGATCTGAGGCTGTTTTGGAGACATTTTGATGCTTGTTGTTGGTCTTTTCTGAGTCAGTTCTGCACAATTTCTTGACAAATGATGAGTTATTTCAGGCAGTTTTCAAGTCTTCAGGCTGATTTTGAGTCATTTTGGACGAGATTATGTCACATTGGACAAACTTGAAGTCATTTTGGTTTATTTTGGACATGCTTTTGTTATTTTGGACAAATGTTTGAGCTATTTTGAAGAAGTTTTGAGTCACTTTGGATGAATTTTCGAGTCTAATGTGGTTGTTTTCTCCAACATCCACATGAACATGCACTGCAAATGTATCGGGTTCTTGTCTTTTTGGACAATATGTGAGTCATTTTAGAAAATTTTGAGGAATTATGGACAAATGTTGACACATTGTGGGGATATATTTGGCATTTGAATCAGATTTTAGTTATTTTCGGACAAATTTAGAGTTCTTCTGGTCAACACATGAGTCATTTTGGACAGTTTATCATCTGTTTACAACATCCAGGTATCAAAAGCTAAGATTTACAAGATTTATTTCTTTTTGCCAGCTGCGTCCAAACAGACAGTCTGGATGCTCTGGAGTTCTTGTGTGGGGCTAAGAATCCAGAAGAGGTGAGNGCAGGTTTTTGTCATTTTGGACGAATTTAGAGTCACTGTTGACGAGCTTTTGTCACTGTGAACACACTTACTGTGATTTTGTCGACAGGTGAGTCACACCTGGTCCTTCTCCAGCTTCTTTTTGTCATTTTAGACGATTTCAGATGTTTTTACTGTTTAAAAAAAAAATTATTGCAGATAAATTTTTGTCATTTTGAAAAGTTCATCAACTTCATCAGGTTCAGTTACGTCTTACGTGTAACTCTGGAAAAGTTTTCATGATTTCTGGGCAGTTTTAGAACGTCGTGGACGATGTTTTGGCAAATTCTGGACAAGTTGGAAGTCGTTTTAGATTCGCTTTGAGTCATTTTGGACGAGTTAATCAAGTTTAGTGACTTTTACATGTAACTTTGGGCAAGTTTTTGTCCTTTCAGACATTTTTGGACGGTTTGGACGTTTATTTATTTGTCTGTTAGGACAGGTGAGCAGTACCTCGTCGTCCTGCGGCTGTTTTGGGTCATTTTGGACAAATTTAGAGGAGTTTTAGACACACTTTCTGCCGTTATTGACCATTTCTGAGTCGTGTGGATGACATGTTGTGGTCATTCTGGACACTTTTACCAGACAGGTGAGTCGGTGAGGACAGGTGAGCGGTACCTCGTCGTCCTGCAACTATTTTGGGTGATTTTAGACAAATTTTGAGGTTTTTTAGACACATTTTCTGTCGTTATTTGACCATTTTTGAGTCGTGTGGATGACATGTTGTGGTCATTCTGGACAGCTGTTTTCCAGACAGGTGAGCCGGCGAGGACAGGTGAGTCGTACCCGGTCGTCCTCCAGCTTCTGCCTGCGTTTCTCCTCCACGGCGGCCCTCCTCTTCTCCTCCTTCACCCTCTGCTCCTCCAGCTTCCTCCTCTTCTCCTCCAGGTGCCTCTCGTAGTGCTGCCGAGCTCGCTCCTCTCTCGCCTGCCACTGGGCCTCCTTCACCGCTGAAACACAAAGCGACAGGTTCACAGCCACGGCGGCGGCAGCGTGACGCTCAGCTGCTCGTCATGTGACGGAGCTTTAACGGCAAATCCCTTCAGATCCAGAAGCAGGATCTGCGTTCGACACCCAGAGCAGCACAACAGACTGAAAACCCACCAAGACTCCCTAAAGTCTGCTCTTATGTAACCGGGATCCATGGAAACGGGCGTCTGGCTGCAGCCCGACTTTATATAAGAGCCGGCCATGAATGAAGCGGCACAGAGGCGACTCACCGTTCTGCTTCTCGCGCTCCTCCCGCCGCTCACGAGCCAAACGCTGCCGCTCATCGATCTTGTTGAAGAGCAGCGAGTCTGCAGNTCCATGCTGGTCTCCTACCTGGGTTCCTCCGGTGGTTCTCCTGCGGAGGTTGGTGGAGGTGGAGGACGCCGTCTCCCTGCTCAGGCTGCGGTCGTGGCTGCGGCAGTGAGGCAGCGGCGCCGCCTGCAGGGCCTTGAAGGACATGGAGCCCATCGGGTGGCAGGACACTGAGCGAGGACACACAGGCATGGCTACATGACGACCGGCCAGAGCGACAGCCGGGAGGAGGTTAGTGCAGAAAGGACAGAGGAAGGAGAAGACGTTCGGCAGGAGCAGAGAAGAAGAGAAACCCAGCGTTAGTGCTGCCGATGGAGGAAGGGCTAAGAACAAACTGCAGCTGGTTAAATACTCAGTCACTGATCGGGTTAGAGGAAACCTAAAGCTGGTTCAGGATCCAGATGTGCTGAGAGACGCCCAGAGACGAAGAGGTTCTACGTTATCAGAACAAACTACTGATCATCGGATATCAGAGCACCAGAGAGCATGCAGAGAACACACCGACACACAAACACATGCAGGAATCTTCAGAGAGCAGAGAGAAGCAACACAACAGAAACAGCAGATAGAAGAACGAACAAACACCTCAGCTTCCATCATCAGAGTCATTTATGTTCTGCTGTTTGTTCCTTCGTTCTCTCAGTGGGTTTAAAAGCTGCTTCCAGGTCTACAAACCTGGTGTGGGTCACTTTGGACATTTCTGTTTGTCATTTTTTATGTCAATTTGGACACTGAATCTTTTTTTTTTAGTCATTCTGGACATTTTTTTGTATTTTTGAACAGATGAAGTTTCCAGTTCAAGTCATTTTGGATATTTGGTCAATTCTTTGAGTCATTATATGAAAAAACGAGTCATTCTGGAAACTTTTTAAACCGATTTGGAGAGATTTTGAGCAGTTTTGGATATTTTCTTTCATTTTGGACAATTTAAGAGTCACGTCTGAACAACTTCTCAGACAAGTTTTGTCATTTTATTCACGTTACAGTAAACCTGTGCAGAATATCGACTCTTTCATGCTCAAAATGGGTTTTTGAAAGAAGAGACATGGATTTGCCTGATGTTCTGGATTCAATTCATATTTCAACATTAGACACAAATCATGTGAACTCACTGCTGCTGAAGGAACAAAACAGCATCAAGAGTAATTCCTCAACAGGTTCCAGATCAGTTTCTAGTCAGTTTAGATTTCTTCTGTAATTTAAGACTTTTTTTAAAATGGTTTTGGACTTTTTCATCATTTATGGAGGAATCGTAGGAAACTCTGGACAACAGGCGTCATCATATGAAGTTACTGCTGCCATGGCAACAGAGGTAGCTCAGTATCAGGTGTGTGTGTGTGTGTGTGTGTGTGTGTGTGTGTGTGTGTGTGAGCTCTGGGTGCCTGATACAGGCCGTTGAGGGAAGTTTCAGACGGCGTAAAGCTTTAAGTCTGAACAAATCTGATTAACGTGTGAAAGCGTTCTGCTGCAGAGACCAGAGCTGAACCTGGACCAGGGCTGAACCTGGACCAGAGCGTCGACCTCAGAGCTCCAGAGGCAGCAGCCGAACATCTGCGTGAGCTTCCGGAAGGCCGCCGCGTGTTTCACCTGTTTGCTCTCCGGACAGACTCATGGCGCTGCGGCTGCGGGCCAGGTAGGAATGCGTCGGCTGCTGCAGGCGGTTCACCACGTTGCTCTCCCAGGGCGTCAGCGGCAGGCGGCGCAGCCCTGAACACAAACACAAGCGCTTGATACGACTCTGATACCAGCAGAAACCAATCGGCTGAGAGGCAGAACCACTGTTTGTTCACAAACACGGCAGGGTGAGGTGGAGCTGGGAGCGTGCACGGCTGCTGCTGCTGCTGCATGCACAAGCTGCTGCTGTATTACACCTGCATGCAAACAAACCGTCCAGAGTGGAGCACAAACACACAGACGGGCATCTAAATGAGCATTTCAAGGAAACACACATAAGATTTCAAGAAATCCACAAATTTATATGATAAAAAGCCTCCAAGAATCACTGAAATCAAAGCGAGGAAAACCTCTGAACACCAAAACCTACTTAAAGCTTAAAACAACTAAAATGTAAAATGATATAATTTATCAGTCAAAAAGGTGTAAAAACAGAAAAAGTCATCAGATTTTCAACTTTCCCTGAAGGTCCTTGAATGCATCAGAGCTTAAAATAGAAGATTTTCATCACAGTTACTTGATTTCACACATCTTGTTCAAAAATCTGCCACAAATCAACTCAGATTTGGTAAAAAACAATCACTTCTTTTGCTGCAACCAGAAGCCACGAGCGACTCAGCTGTCACCAACAGAAATAAATGATCAGAAATGTTTTGTTTCTGGTTTCCTTCGTTCTAACTGTGCTGACAGAAGACATCTCTGAGTTCTGTCTCCTTCTTCACGTTGTTCTGTCTCCATAGAAGACTTTATCTTGCAGTAAAGTCAGTTAAACCGAGACAGAAAACAAACAGCTTGGAGTTCAGAGGGTTAAACATGTGGACATGCAGGAATATGTTGATGGTAAATATCGATTCTTCATGATAACCTCATTGGACACAAACCACACATGCAGGTTTCAGAGAATAAAGCGAAGCCAGAACCGGGCTGAGAATCGAGTCTCTCTCCTCTCTTTAGCGTACGTCTGAATGCACAGACTTTGTTTTGGCTGCTGCCTTTAAGTCCGTAATGATGCATACGCGTCTGTTTGAGACGTGGGTGTTAATATTTCAGCCGGGATGAAAACAGCATACAGTGTTCCCACAAAAACAAAAAGATTATCCGACAGAGGATTAGAGAAAGGGGTCACGCTGGAAAAGTCTTGATCCTCTGATGAAACGAACGCTGCTGCAAACAGCCGCGTTTGTTCTGTAAATACGATGTCAAAGCTCATCGTTGTCAAACAGGAGGAGCTGAGCGGAGGGTCAGTTTGTCAGGACGTTGTTAATTTAAGGCGTTTACGGACTCGGAGGAGAGAGTTCGGTTCGCAGCCGCGGAGGAAGCGGTCATTTCCCAGAAGCCACCTGTGTTCCTGTGCTGGCTGCTCCTCCCCAGACCGGGTTTGGGCTGAGATTTGCTTATGACAGGAGAAGAAGCTGCTCTCATGTGTAATCCTGTCAGCGACACACAGAGATAATCAATGACCGGAGGCTGAGTCAGCACAGACAGAACACTCTGAGCTTATTTTCTCTCCTGCGGAGGATTCGATCACGTTTGTTCTCAGATTTTGAGTCAGCAGCTGGTTGAGAAGCTTTCCCACTCGTGTCGGTTTCAGATGTCTCAGTTTTTTAATCCCCACAAACGCCTGAAACGCTGGCTGTGGTTTCACTGCTCAGATCCTCCGACTGTTTCTTCTTTACGCTGCTCTTAATCAAACGTTCCTCCATTCAGGGAAATCCACACGTATGCATGTTCCAGTTGCTTTTATTGCTCTTAATACTTCAGTATTTTATATCTATTTAATCTTAGAGTTCAATCTTAGAGTTTAACAATTTATGCAAGTTGTTCTCTGTTCTTTAAGCACATACTTGTATGAAATCTGCAGCACTTTGCTCGACTCGAACGGTTTTAAAAACTGATTTTCTTCAGCCTGAGTTTCTGCTGTTTGTCAAAACTCCTGCTGACAACAAGAAACACAACAAACCTCAACTTCTGCTGTTGGAAAATGGATGAAACTGTTAATGTTTGAGTTTGTGGTTTTGTTCTGTTCCCTCTGGACACAGTCAGACTCAAGCTAAACTATCTGCAGGCTGTAGCTTTAGAAAACGTGGTGCTGATCTTTTCTATTTAATTTAATTTCTAATTCGTTCGTATGTAGGTCACCGTCACTCCCAAGTCTAATTTGTGCGGTGATATCAGCTTAATCATTAAAATCAGCTGATAAAGGCTTTAAGGTGAAAGTGTTCTGCAGGAGGAACCGACCCGAGAACGTTTCCACCACCTTAAACTGACGCAGACTGATTTACCAGAACGTTTACTGGGAGTCAAACTAACTGATGTCATGATGAACTGATGAGACAACGGCAAAGACACACAAACCGAGACACACATAAAGACCAGAAAGTGGAGAAAATGAACCACAAAGAGCTGCTGGTTAGGTGAAAACAGAACTAAAACAACGTTACAGACACACAAAAGGACGACTAGACGCAAGAAAACCCCACAAACCAATAAAAAAAGAGACAAAATGAGCAAAAAAACAGGCAAGATGACCAGAAAGAGATGCAAACAGAGAACAAACAACTTCAAAGACTCAAAAACAACCCTCAAGGCAAACACAGAGAGCCACAAAACGGCCTCAAATAAATAAAACGGAAACCAGAAAGAGATGCAGACTGACCAGAGAGACGGAATCAAACACACAGAGACACAAACTGAACAGAAACAGATCAAATACAATAAAATAAATACAATAAAATAAAATAAAACAGCCTTTTATACGCTCAAAAGGATGCTTGATGCAAAAAGACAAAACATCCACAGAGACTCGCACCAATAAAAAGAGACGCAAAACAAACACAATGAACGCAGAATGAGCACAAAGACACACAAAGTGACCAGAAAGAGATTAAAACAGATAAAAAACGCCGTAAATGGACTGAAAACAGCGAGAAAGACTCAAACATGTGATCAGAAAGAGACTCGACTGAGCTCAGACAGAATCCGTCGACAGGAAGTGGAGTTTAAACTTCACAACCAGCTGTTTGTGTTTCAGCTCAACAACCAACATCTGGATCATCTAGAAGCAGCAGCAGCTTCCTGCTCTGGGTTTCATTCCTCAACAGTTCTGGTTCTGGACCAGTTCTCAGCAGAAACCAGCAGCTTCCAGAGAGTTCGTATTAAACTCTCCTTCTTGAGGGAGACCAGGCCACCAAGGCACAAAGTTAGAACGTTAGAAAGATTAGAAGGTAGTGAAGGTTCTTCCAGGACCAGCGAGCAAAACAGCAGAAGGCCCCAAGAATCAGAACCAGTCCTGGACGTCCTGTACAGCAGCTACAGGATCTACAAACAGTGTTCATCACCGCTGGTTTGAAATATTGTCCGTTTGATTTGGCTTTTTGGACAAGAATTTAGAAAACGACTCTTTCATGTCAAAACAGATTTCTACAAAGTGACGTCTGTAAACTAAAAATTTAAAACAAGTGATTGCATCACCTCCCTTAGAGTGACTCTAATGTAACTCAGCCAGTCGGTGCTAGAAGTCCCACAGTCAGTAAACGCATCATCTGAGGTCAGTGAATGAGTCTCAGTGGCTGTAGTATAAAGACTCCTGTATCTAGAAGGTCCAGTCACCGGTGGATCCTGGATAGAACTACACCATGAAGACTGATGAACACCCCAAGAACTCTGGGAAAAGGTTGTTGAGAAGCATTTTGTCCATCAGGCTGGACTCTATGTTTGCTCGTCACCAAACCATAATCCTCACAAACACAACATCTCAGCCATGAAGCACGGTGGTGGCAGCATCATTAAATGGGGATGCTTCTATTTGGACCAAATCTGTTTTCACTTTGACATGAATTTAAGCATAATTCAATGTTGAAAACCAATAAAGGGGAGTTCTGTAGTGGGGTGAACACTTCCTTAGACACTGTAGATGAGCAACAGTTACAAAAGCTGGAAGGAAGTGACGAAAAGTTGCTCTTCTCACGTTTAAGAAAGGCCAAGAAACCAGATTATGAAGCACACACTGATGTGTGCTGGACAGTGAGTTAGACAGACATCGATAAATTAGTTTGGAAAACATTCCCTTAAACAGCTTCAGCGAGACCCCCGGTGGACACTGTGTGCTGCTGGTTACCTCGGTCCGGTGAGTGCAGGAGTGTGGCCGAGGACGAGGACAGGCGCTTGGTAATCACAGGGTCGGCGTGTTTGGATAAGTTCATGGTGGACACGGAGCGCCGGTCTGCATCTGGAATCACAGCGATAGAAGCCGGTCAGCGGTGGATCAGCAGGAAGGACAGCAGGGAGACGACAGCTGGTGTCTAGTTCAGGTTAGACGTGGAAACTACCAACACGCCGCTAAAATAGGACAAAATGAATTAGTGCTAAATGGGTCTAACACTGAGACTAACACGTCTGAGTGAAGGTTCCTGAACTCCACATGACAACAGACACCGACCATGCTGGTCGCACATTGACGGGTCGTCCAGCTCAGACTTCAGAACAAGCTCTGATTGGCCTGACATTTTAGAGAATACNCTGCAGCCTGAGAGGATTAGCCGCTGCTAATGCTAAGCTAAACTGTAAGCTGCAACCAGCAGAGAGGCGACGGGGGGGAGGGAGGGAGGAGGAGAGTCTTTATCGCAGATCCAGGACGACATTCAGGCTGCAGCCGTCTGGTTTCTACTGTTCAGGGCCCGAAAACCTCCTCCAGAACTTCCTCAGAACACCTGGAGTACCTTTATCTACTGACCAGAGTTCTGCCTTCAGACTGTGAATGGTCCAGAGTTCCAGGTCCTTGAAGTCCACAGAGGAGGGTCCAGATTTATCACTTTAATGGAGTTTTTCCATCATTTCTGAGCCTCATCAGTCCAGCAGATAGACACATGACATTTAGGAGGAAGAACACATCTGGTAGAACCTGACACCAGATCAGTTCTACATCCATCCTGGTGTCTCAGTCTGAACACTGGACCTGGTTCTGTCATGCATGACTTTAATCCATCATCTTCATGCCACTCTGAACACGTTTCTAGTCGTTTCGGACACATTTTAAAGTCATTGTGGACGATTCTTGAGTTACAGATTTTATGTAATTTTGAGGGAATTTTGAGTTACTAAACAAATTTCACGTCCTCTTGAAGAAAGTTTGGTTCATTTAGGAGAATTCTTGCATCATTTTTGACGATATTGAACTAATTTTGGACAAATCTTTAGTCATTGTGGACATTTTTAAACCATTTTGGTCGATGTTCTGTACAGTTATTGAGTGATTGTAGACTGGAGTTCGTCAGTTTGGCAAATTTTGAAAAATACTGAACAATGTTGAATAATTTTTATAAATTTTTTCCATTATTTGGAGACTTTTTGGACAGAGTTGGGCTCCATGTCCTCTGTCAGCAGCTGGTAGCATCAGTATTATGGGATGTCTCATAGCAACAGTCAGTTTAATGTCTCTGACCCAGAGTCATAGAAACAATCACTGGTACCATGGATGTGCTTCTGGGTTCTGATCAGTCACCAGAGAAAACTCTACAAAGTGCATTCTGGTTAAACTTTCCAGGCTCATATCAGCGTGTGTGATGGTGGTTGGTCAGAACAAGTTCTAGACAATAGAAGGACCATCTTACCTCCAGAACCTACCAGAACCATCTGTAGACAGGAGTCCTAAAAGGTTTTATTGCTCATACAGAGTTTGGTGAACGACTAAAGCTGCCACTAGTGATTATGTTTTCATTCGTGATCAATATCTGGATCAATCAATCAGCTGTTTGTCTCTAAAATGGCAGAAAATGGTCAAAAATGTGGATCAGAGTTTCCTCAAATGTCTTGTTTTGTCCACAGATCTTCAGCTGACTGTGGTTACTTAGTGGTGGTTAACTGAACTTGTTAACTCGTCGTCAGAGTTTGCATCCAAACTGATGAGATGATCGCAATTAGAACTATTTATGAACCCAAACACTGTTTTTACACCTTCAAAAAACACAAACTGACTGTTATTCTGAGTGCAGACGTATGTTTAGTCTCTAAATAAACCAACAGAAGCAGCAGTGACCTGATCCTGGTTCTTCTGCTCCATTATTTATGGTCTAAACGCTCCAACATGAACGTTTCTCCTCCGAGGAAACTACAAACCTCAACAACACATCGCACTGAAAGGAAACAGAATTATTATTTAAAATCAGACCAGACGCTCCGTCGTCTTCACGCATCGAGTTCAGACACAAATTATTTAGTTTGAGGGAATCAGGTCAGTTTTGTTGAGACGTCGGTGCAGCTGGAGGGAAAGTTTGGCTGCTTCACGTCGGGTCAAACACGCAACAACCCAACAGGAGCTCCATAAATCCTCATAACGACCACGAAAAGATGCAAAATCGCCATCAAAAGATGAGAAATCACCCCGAAAACTCACAAACAGAAGCTTAAAAACTACAAAAAGATGGAAAATTACTACAAAAACACACAAACACGCCATGAAAACACAAAACCACAACAAAGGGATGCAAAATTATGCTAAGAAAAATAAAAATCACCACAAAGATGTGAAATCGTCACAAAAAATAAACAAAACTTTTACTTTTCCTCAAAAATATGAAGCTTCACCACAAAAAGAGGCAAAAATGACTTCAAAAAAATGGAACAGAAAAAACACAAAATCACCACAAAGGCACAAAATTTACACCAAAAACTGTAAATCATCATCAAAGACACACAAGCTCAAAACAAATAAACGAGAAATCACCTCCACAAGAACACAAACCGGCCACGAAAACACACAAAACCGGCACCAAGATGCAAACACGCCACAATAAATAAGTAAATAAATAAAAAATCACCCTGAAAACCCCCAAGCTCACCACAAAAAGGAGGAAAAATCTCAACAAATCGATGCAAAAATCACCAAAAAGATGCAAAACTGTTCGAATAAAACTGGAAATCNAGCAGCAGCCGGACGTTCTCTTATCTCAGTATTTACTCACGTTTAAAGTCATAAAGAGCAGCTGACGGGGCGGTTAGCGGGCGGAGGTCTGTGTGCTCAGAGCTTCTACAACCAGGACTTTAGATTGAGGAGGAAGAGTCATGATGAAATAAAACAAACTGCTGCAGACGAAACGTGAGGAGGAGAAACCAGTGTTTGGTCTCCAGTGACTCCTGGAACTCTGAATGTTGTCTGATGGAACCACTGAAGCATGAATCTGTGTCACTAGAACATCACAGATTCATTAAAGGTGTTCTGGAAACATGACTAAACCTGCTGGGTCATAAATATACAGACAGAAAGTTGAATCATCAGTGATAATGTAGAAAGTTGTGTTGATCAGATGCTCTTAGCTTCATGGCCTCCTAACTTCTCCTGAGTGGTTCTGGTTGACTCCAGCTGCTGACTCCTCTGATCCAGTGTAAACAGAACCATCTGATCCACTCATTAGACTCTACAGTGGGAGAGTCTGAGGAGCTCAGCAAAGATCTGGAAAATATTTCTCTCCAATTGTTCTGCAGCTTTAAACGAAGTCCTGTGGATCCATCACAGCTCGTTTAACTCCTTTAACTGACAGCTGTGACTTCCTGTCTCGTCTTTCCTTCGTTTGCTTTCCCTATCTGTGAGGAGAACCCGGCCCGTGAAGACCTGAATAACGTCGTCTGTCGTTCGGCTCGTTAAGCCGACGAATAGCTGCGACTTTATTTGCGGGCGACGGTTCAACGGCGTCTGCAAACACGCCAAAGTCAACTTCACACGAAGCAGCTCCGCGATAAAGGTCCAACCGCCGAGTGGATTCTGACCTTCAGCCTCGAGAAACTCAGACCAGCACAAGAAACGCTGCCGAGGACGGAGGCTGGACGCTGGATCATAAAGGAAAAACTTTTAATGTGTGAAGATCAGAAGTCAGTCTGATATCAAAGCTGCAGAACTTCAAGTCCAACAGCTCAAAGGCAGGAAGCTGAACATTTAAAACAACTGAAGGATCCGTTTATTCAGAACATCAGTTAAACCGGAGCTGCAGCGACTCACTGATTTAACTGGTTTTACTTTTTACTGGTTTGTCTCCTTCAGTTTTGTTTGTTTGTTAACATTTAATACAATTTTCTGTTCTTTTTGCATCTATTTCTGTTTATTTTGTGTCTTTTTTTCGTGGGTTTCTGGTTGTTTTGTGTTGATTTAGCATCTTTTTCTTCCGTTTGACTGCATTTCTGGTCGTCTCGCGTCTCTTTACAGTCATTCTGCATTTATTTCTGTTGATTTTTTGTCTTTTTAACAGGTTTATTTGTCATTTTTGCATCTTTACGTGTTGATTTAGTTCCTCTGCAGTCGTCATTTTGCAACGATTACTCACTTATTCTGATATCGGATTAATCAGTTTGAGTCATTTCTTAATAAAAAACAGTTTAAATTCTCTGAATTCAGCTTCGTCAGTGAATATTTTCTGGTTTCTTTCCTCTGTGACAGTAAACTGAACATCTCTGGATCCACATTTTTCAGCTGAACGTTTAATCCAGAAAAACAATCATCACTTGCAGCCCTGATCTCGTCTCTGTTCAACTGGTTTGCATCCATTTAACATTTGTTTTGTTCTGTTTGCATGTATTTCTGGTCTTCTTCTGCTTCGTTAAACTCATTTTACATGTTTTTCTGTAGATTCTGTTGCTGTAGATGCTGTTTGTGCTCATTTAGCGTCTCCTTGCAGCTCTTTTGCTTCTTGTTTTCAGCGCTTTGTCTCCTTCTGGTCGTTTATTTGTGTTGATTTAGCGTCTTTTTCTTCTGTTTACATCATTTTCTGGTCGTCTTGAGCCTGTTTGCATCTTTACGACTTAATTTATTATCTCTACAGTCGTGCTGCGACCGTTAATGTTCATTTTGCAAAGAGCAGGAGAACGATTAATCAGAAATAACATCTACATTTTGTGATTGTAGCTTCTGAAATGTGAATATTTTCCTCCTCTGTGACACTAAACTGAACATCTTCGGACAAAACAAGACATTTTTCTTAATTTTCTGACATCTTAGAGACAAACTGCTGCGAGACAAAGACAATAATCCGTCTTTTGTCCTATTTTACATGTCGATGGCGTCTTCAGATGGTTCCGTCTGTGAATATTGAACTGAACGACGGTTTAAACCTCTAATCATGTGTGTGGCTGCGGCTCAGCTCGGCTCTGAGCCCGTCCGACCTCTGCTGCTCTCCTCCCACCTGTTCACATCGTTACCTGGACTCTGGCTCATTATTCCGGGACCTGCTGATCCCAGTTAGCGTCCTGCTGCTAAGAGTCTGATCCCAGGTCCAGAACCAGCGTTCCTGCTTCCTGGAAACATCTCTGACGGTGAAGATAAGCTTGGTTTAAAGTCCACGGAGCCTCGAGGCGGGAAGGAGGAGGAATCCTCGGCGCTGCCTCCAGAGCGAAGAGGAGGTCAGCCGTGGTCGGCGTCCAACCCCCAGCAGCAGAGAGTGAAGCAGGGAGAGTTTAATCCCTCCATCTCCTCTCCCCCACCCCCACCATCTGCAGCAGCAGCAGCGCCGGCAGATTAAGAGTTAGCGATTAAAGCTCTGCTGTCCGGCCTGCAGCCTCCGTCCTCCCTGCAGCCTGAGAGGATTAGCCGCTGCTAATGCTAAGCTAAACTGTAAGCTGCAACCAGCAGAGAGGCGACGGGGGGGGAGGGAGGGAGGAGGAGAGTCTTTATCACAGATCCAGGACGACATTCAGGCTGCTCTGGTTTCTGCTGTCCAGGGCCCGAAAACCTCCTCCAGAACTTCCTCAGAACACCTGGAGTACCTTTATCTACTGACCAGAGTTCTGCCTTCAGACTGTGAATGGTCCAGAGTTCCAGGTCCTTGAAGTCCACAGAGGAGGGTCCAGATTTATCACTTTAATGGAGTTTTTCCATCATTTCTGAGCCTCATCAGTCCAGCAGATAGACACATGACATTTAGGAGGAAGAACACATCTGGTAGAACCTGACACCAGATCAGTTCTACATCCATCCTGGTGTCTCAGTCTGAACACTGGACCTGGTTCTGTCATGCATGACTTTAATCCATCATCTTCATGCCACTCTGAACACGTTTCTAGTCGTTTCGGACACATTTCAAAGCCATTATGGACGATTCTTGAGTCATGTTGACAGATTTTATGCAATTTTGGGGAATTTTTGAGTTACTAAACAAATTTCACGTCCTCTTGAAGAAAGTTTGGTTCATTTAGGAGAATTCTTGCATCATTTTTGACGATATTGAACTAATTTTGGACAAATCTTTAGTCATTGTGGACATTTTTAAACCATTTTGGTCGATGTTCTGTACAGTTATTGAGTGATTGTAGACTGGAGTTCGTCAGTTTGGCAAATTTTGAAAAATACTGAACAATGTTGAATAATTTTTATAAATTTTTTCCATTATTTGGAGACTTTTTGGACAGAGTTGGGCTCCATGTCCTCTGTCAGCAGCTGGTAGCATCAGTATTATGGGATGTCTCATAGCAACAGTCAGTTTAATGTCTCTGACCCAGAGTCATAGAAACAATCACTGGTACCATGGATGTGCTTCTGGGTTCTGATCAGTCACCAGAGAAAACTCTACAAAGTGCATTCTGGTTAAACTTTCCAGGCTCATATCAGCGTGTGTGATGGTGGTTGGTCAGAACAAGTTCTAGACAATAGA